GTTCCCTTTCAACAAGGCTGCCTTGCAAGAAGTTTGGGGCTACTCCAATAAAAGTGTGGATAAAAAAAGGGGGTCCCTGTAACCCAGCACAAAGTCTTTCTCAGCAAAAGTCTTTTTAGTTTTGAGCAAAGTCTTTTGTGGGGTAGTTTGTTTAAACTGCTGTGGTGAAAAGGGTTTTCAAACCAAACCCCTGCCCCACTGTTTTTTGGGCATCTGGGGGGAACACCTTTGATGACAATGCCCAGAGTAAATCAGTACCCCTCGAGGGGTGTGACCCCCCTCAAGAGCACATAGTCTTAACTATCCTGCTTTCTTCCTTAAATTCCCTCCTTAACTTCAAATGCATTAAAGAAGTGGCAGAACTGTTAACCTCTGGGGAAATTTTAGATCTTGCCTCCAGGCAATTGTCAGTTTGGCTCAAATAAACTCATGAAAATTCCCTACAGGTGTGGACGTTTCTTAGCTGGTCAGAGGCCCATAAGCCCTGACCTGCCCGAAACGCCCCAACCCGACACTCAAAAGCATCAGCTGGCCAACCCCACCCGACGCCTATTCTAGTGGGCAAACCGCTTCTGTCAAATCCGCCCCACCTGCCCCCGCTTCCACCCCGCGGGCCGGAGGGTCGTGGTGTAAAAGCCCGGCCGGGCGTCGCCGGGCAGACATATTAGGGACTTCACTCACTGCACTGGCCGGCCCGGCACCCACTTCTGCCGCTCGGCCCACCGCAGGCTCCCCGCTCCTCTCGGCAGCCTGGAGCCTGTGCCCTGGCCGTGCCCTCCGCCCGGGAAGCCATTCCCACCTCCCGACCAGCAGCAACCCGATCGCGCGCCTCGGAACTCACCCCACGGCGGCGGCTGTGCCTCGGCTTGCTCACGTTCTTGGTCACCTTGTGGCCCTTGTTGAGGCCCACGGCCATGGGATAGCGCAGAGCCATGGCTGCGGACAAGGGTGGGGAGGGGGGAGAGGTAAGTCCCGGTTCGGCCACTGCTGCCCAGAGCCCAGCGTCCCGGCCCCCCGCAGTCGCTCGCTACACCCAGCCATTCCCCCAAGCCGCACCGGAGGCCCTGGGGTACGGATGGCGGCGGATCCCACCAGCGCCGAGATGAACTAACCTGCTGCTCCTCAATGGCTGCCGCGGCGGAAGGGCTGGCGGAGCGCGGAACTCTGGGATATCTATTCCTCACGGGTTGCGCGGGCCAGAGAGGCAGGGATGCTGCGAGCGCCCCCTGGCGGCTGGAGGTTTTCCTGCGGTCTCGTGAGCATGCGCATTTACCCCAGCCGGCCCTAGTGAGGGGTCGGAGCTCTTGTGCGTGCCTATGGCAATGCTGCCTCCCTATTCCGGGGGGTGGAAAGTTCGAATCTCACCTCTGCTGGGTGAAACCCCATCTCAGCCGCTAGCTGGCGCCAGGGACTTCAACCTCCCAATACCTGAATTTCTCCATTTATAAAATAAGGGCAGCCGAGGCTGGTTTGGCTCAGTGGTCTCGTGAGCATGCGCATTTACCCCAGCCGGCCCTAGTGAGGGGTCGGAGCTCTTGTGCGTGCCTATGGCAATGGTGCCTCCCTATTCCGGGGGGTGGAAAGTTCGAATCTCACCTCTGCTGGGTGAAATCCCATCTCAGCCGCTAGCTGGCGCCAGGGACTTCAACCTCCCAATACCTGAATTTCTCCATTTATAAAATAAGGGCAAAAATAGGGCATATTCCAAACTCTTTGAACAAGATATAATGGTACTTGACACAAAATAAAACTTCCATAAACGAAGGCATTTTATATGAGGCCAAGCTTTGAGTTAGGGCTAAGGAAGGCGATGTGGTATAGTGCCCGTTGGTGGCATTTGATATGAATCGATTTTATTTTAGGTGATGCAGAGATGAGAGGCATAAGAACAAAAAAAAAATTTTTTCTGTTTTTTTTCTCTTTCAATCCTAATGTCAAGTGTGTAGTCCTTGATGCACGTTAGTATTATCCATGCACAAACCATGTATGTTGTGTGGCAAATAATGCCTTTGGTCCACCATCAGTACCCTTCCTACTGCCCGGACTTGCTGGGTGAGCCCCCCTCTCTCCCAGCCTGTTTCTCCACCTGTGAGATGGGGTTGAGAGCTCTAGTGCACACACTCTTCCTGCCTGCTGGAAGGACCAAGACATTTAACAACAGATGTGCAAGGGAAGAAGGATTTTTATTATGAAAAGGGAGGCTGGGTACAGAGCAAAACACATTCCTTCCCTTCTCCCCCTCTTTGGACCCTACCATTCGGTTTTTTTTTTTGTTTGTTTTGTTTTAAAATATATTTTTATTGATTTCAGAGAGGAAGGGAGAGAGAGATAGAAACATCAATGATGAGAGTATCATTGATTGGCTGCCTCCTGCACACCCCCTACTGGGGATCGAGCCCGCAACCCAGGCATGTGCCCTTGACCGGAATCGAACCCGGGACACTTCCGTCCACAGGCTGACCGCAGAAAATCCAAACCAGCTAGGGCCCTACCATTGGGTTTTGTGGCTCTCCTTTGCTTAGGGCAAGGAGTGAGTGGAAAGAACAAATCAGGTGGTTCCAAGGGAGCCCCTAGGGCCGGCTCTCCACATTACCTCTCTAGCCTTCGTTTCCCCATCAGCGCAATGGAAGCAGCAATCACATCAACAATGACCACGGAGAAGAATGAGGTAATGCCTTCCAGGCCCCTGACAAGGTGCTGGCTCACAGACGCTGCTCTCACACCCAGAGATTTCATTGCTTCCAGGTGCTAATGGTTTTTCTGTTTTCCCTTCCTGTATTGATGATGCTGTCTTGGGTCATGGCCGCCCTCTCGAAGGCGTCTGTTTGAGCCCCACCTTCAGGCGGCTGGGGGAAGGGTCCTCTCTGAGAAGATGGAGGAGCTCAGGCAGCAGCAGCGGCAGTGACATTGAGCTCCTGGCGGACGAACCAGGCCCTTGGGTGAGGCAGCCAGGCCCGGAGAAGGCAGAGGACGTGGAAGCGCCACGGGTAGAAGACGTGGGAGACCCGCGTGGCGCCGCCCCGGATCACAGCCAGGGCTGCCTTGGGCCCCGGGGCCGCCTGGGCCCTGGTGACACCCCTGGGGACAGGAGTGCTTGGTGCGGACTGGGGCTGGGGCTGGGTGGCCCCCCACGACCCCCGGTCCCCGCCCCTGGTCTTACCTGACTCCCTCCTTAGCCGAGGCGCGATCCTGGAGGCCCAGGACGCACCTGGTGATGGCCACGTTCACATCCTGCACATGCAGCTCCCGCTGCAGGGCGCCAAAGAAACTGTCCAGCGCGAACTTGGCCGCGGAGTAGGGACTGGAGAAGGACGCGGGCACACGGC